GAATCCTCAGCCGGCCGGCTGGGGGCGCAGCTCCCGGGGGAGGAAGGCTGGCTGGAAAACCCTCAGGGCGAGGAGAGGCTCGTCAGCGGTTAGCCAGCCGGGACTGAGTGTCCGCATTCACACGTGCTTAGCCTGGACACTGCAGGAAAGCATTTTCCGGGCTCGCACAACTCCTCCACCTGACCAAGCTGAGCGTGAACAGCATCCTAAGCATCCCCCTCAGAAAACCCCACCTCAGACTGATGCTAACCAGTCCCAGCATGTTGTGCAAATCTTGACCCACCATTGTTAACTTTGCCTTGTGAACGCAGCCTCAGTGTCTTTTGAACGGAGCCGCCTTTTCAGATCGTTATGTTTTATTTAATCCTTTTTTCAGTCGACAGTTGCCAAGCTAAACTTGGGACTGTAGGCACACAAGAGACGTGCTCTTCCAGTAAGCTTAGGGTGGAGAACAGCTTCTGTGAGGACTTCACTGTCTGAAAAGACCTTTTCCTAAACTTTATCTGCTGCTAGAAGTAGGATGTTGGGCTAAACTGACATCTGCCTGTGTTCTGACTTCTGTATATAGAACCTTTTCAGAATTGGATGGCATATCAATTGCAGTCATAATACAAACAGAAACAAATCAGAATCAGACAAGTGCATAGAAGGCTATAGCAGTTGGCAGCTCTTAATCAGGATAGCTAGCCTTGGTTCCTTCAGATGCATCAGAGTACATCCTCCTACCAGTTATTGCAGGGTTCTTGAAAGCATCTGAACCCTGGGTTGTGACCATCAGTGCTCCAAAGTGGTGTTGCTTTCTTGGTTTTCTCTCCTGTTACTCCATTTCCAGAGCCTAAAAAATCATAGAAAATGCTAATATTGTGTGCTTGCGAATTGGTTATGCATCAGTGTGCCTTGTGATTTAAAACAGGTAACCCTGGCTTTCTGTGACTGAACTTGGACCAAATTCAGGTTCCCTCTTAATCACAGAATTCAGTGCTTGTCTTCAGACTAGTCATTCTTTCCCAGCCCAACCTGTCACATAATGGTGTTGATTGGAGGATAAAGTTAGAGAAGATTTCTCTCTTGAAAACTGCCTTCAGCTCCCAGAGAAAAAAATGGGGTCTGAATGGTATTAAAAAAGGTTCATAAATAGTTTGTGTATGAACTTCTATAAATCTTGAAACAGTTGTGATTCTATTACGTGTCTGTCAGGTTGGCGTATATTTAAAATTCAGAGATACTGGTATCAAATCCTTGCATTTTTTCTATGCTTACTCCTAGAGAGAATTAAATGAATCTCCCTGTTGCCCACCAGTCTCATTCCAGTATCCTAGACAGATTCCCTCACTAAGTCCAGCTTTTCTTAGATTAAAAAAAAAATCATGAACATTTTCACTGCCAGACATTGGATAGTAGATCTTAAAAAACAGACTCGAATTTGATTTTGTAAGAGGAGGAAAACTTTCTAGAACACCCTTTTACAGTACTGATTCCTTCTTCTTTGCTTCTGTGTTGAGAGTGAAAACACAGTGTTGTGTTGATCTGAGCCTTTCAACTCTTGGATAAGATGGCATTCTGATCCGAAGGCAAGTTTACTGCGTGATTTGCTTTTGGAAAAGGTTGGACTCAGAATTGAGTTGTCATCTCAGACAGTTGAAATCATCTAGATGCAGCCCTTCTGTTTCAGAAAGGATGATGTGTCTTTCAGTTAGCAACAGGAAGTCAACTGTAGAAGGGGTAAGAGGAAGAAAGCACCAGGCCAAAACGAAAAGGGTTATTTTTAGACCTTAATAGGAAAGTCACCTGATTGCCTCCAGCAGGCTGTGTTCATATAGTACTGTATGTTTAACCAAGTCAGCTAATGATGTACCTGAAACATCTGTACAACATGCTTATTTGGTTAGTGTTAACCCTGGTTAAGTTTTTTGTGGCTTAGCCTGTTATACAAATGCACTTCCATTTGGTCAGTTTATGGTTCAGAATACTGTATAAATGCAGAAAATAGATTGGTTCAGGATAGGTGAAGAGTGTTGTATGAACACAGCCACAAAGATTTCGCTGGACTTCTGTAAGAGTTGTGTTAGGGTCTTGGTGCAGTTTTTCTGGTTGTGCAGTTGTTCTGAAATGTTGTGCTAATTCTTGGACTGTTATAATAATAGACTCTTTAGCTAAACAATTTGGGGCTCTTGCTCCAAGGATTTGTACCTTAATAATTTATAACAAAACTGGGATTGGTGGAGTAATGTTTTATTTGGAACATGAGAATTCATCCCTCTAACTTGGTGAGGCAGTGACGGGATCTATTACCCGTCCAAACCTTTGTTCTCAAACTGTAAAGTGATTGTGACATTTGTCTGGCAGAAATAACAAAAAGAAAGCTTTTTTTCTTGCACCTAGCAGTTCTCTCCTTCAATTACTTTATTACCATATTTTTAGATGTTTATCCCACCTTTATTATTTTTTATAAATAACTCAAAGTGGCAAACATACCTAATACTG